GGAGGGTGAGGCTGACTTGATGTCTCTAGGGGTAGTCCATCTGGCCACGCTGTGTCAAGTGAACCACATAAAATGAAAATAACTTTATCCCCTACTGCTCCTCTACCTCATCATCCCTCTCTCTCTACCACAAAGTACCGTCGTGATATACACCGCCATGTACCGCATTAAGTACCGTCCGTGATACACACCGCCTTGGCCACATTAAGTACCGTCCGTGATACTTACGCCATGGCACATTAATACTGCGTCCGTGATACCGCGTACATTAAGTACCGTCCGTGATACACTACCGCCATGGCCACACTAAGTACCGTTCGTGGTACACACCGCCATGGCCACATTAAGTACCGTCCGTGATACTTACCGCCATGGCCACACTAAGTACCGTTCGTGATACACACCGTCATGGCCACATTAAGTACCGTCCGTGATACACACCGCCATGGCCACACTAAGTACCGTCCGTGATACACACCGCCATGGTCACACTAAGTACCGTCCGTGATATTTACCGTGTTTGGTGAGAAGGGAAAGTCGTTCCCTTAAGCCAAATGGTCCGTTAGGGGCAGTGCGGATATAACATACTGCAGATAAATCCTCTTTATCGGCACTGCATTAGACTACCTTTCACTCCCCAACCGTCACGTTAGGTACCCAATCACAGCTGGGTGAAACGTGGGTATGTCCGGGCACGAACCAACAACCAATAGGGTAGAAGGCGAGATGGGGAAATAGAAGGAGGAGGAGGAGGAACGAAAGGAGGAAGAGGAGGAGGGAGGTGAGAGGAACGGAAGGAGGGACGTAGATGGGAGGGAAACGAGAGAGAGAGTGAGAGAGAGAGAGAGAGAGATGCGGGGGACGAAAAAGGAAGGAACGGAAGGAGGAGAGGGGGAGGGAGGGAGACGAGAGGAGCGGAAGGAGTGAAAGAGAGAGAGAGAGAGAGAGAGGAAGGGAGGGGACGGAGGGAGAGTGATAGGGAGGAGGAGGAGAGGGGGATGAAGAATGAATAGGTCCAACACAGTATTGCTTTCCCAGATCGACCCACACACTATCAACCACCATCTTGTAGCTCTCCGTTCACTGCACCTACAGCCAAACAACTCTATTTATCCCTATACCGATATCCTTAGACACTACTATACCCATACATCGATACTATAATATATTAGGCTATATTTAGGGAGATATAGGGAGAGAATGAAGGGTGAGAGAACAGTGTGGACGAGAAACATGGTGGTGGTGGTGGTGGTGGTTGAGGGGAGAGTGTAGTATGAATGTTGATGAGGTGGTGCTTATTGCTGCTACCACACCCCTCCAGGCCCTCTTTCCTCC